GTCCTACTAATATTATAAGCGAATATCAAATAAAATTTAACAATCATAACTTATCAACTATAAATCGATCGAAAAGATAAATTGCATATAAAATACGTAATTACCTACATAATTACATACACCTACATTTTATAAAGGTTCCCTTAAAATGTTTTCGACAACAAACAACATTTAATTTGTATCTAATCAAATGCACAGCGGCGTGCCTTGTCGCCGATAACCGTTTAGATTTAATTTATGACCATAGTGATAAAAATGCATTACCTAATCTTTGTGAAGTTAAATATGGATTTTAAAACGCTACCGTGTGACTGCCGCTGTCACCGACAACTTACGTCATCCCTTTCTTATTAAAACCTGATTTAAATTATATCGTAGAACCTGTAATGGGCGAAATAAAAGACACTTAAAGCAACAATAGATGCTTTAATTTTCCAGCATTATGAAGTGATCCTCTGAGGTACTTTCAAACCATTACAACTTTCAAGAATAGACCGTATTCTTTGCTCTACAATTGTCTACAAATCTTCTGTTCTGTTGAAGATATAATAATTAGGTACATCGTTAATGTCTTACTCGCTGCCCATGTACCCTAAGGATACATACTTTTTAGTCAGTTGCTATACCTACCATGATTGTCTGAGACCAAAATTCGCGTTTAAAACATGTTGTCTGATTAGTCAAAGATGAAAGAAGGAAATGACGATATATTTTATATAAAGATTTTGATATTAGAAACACACGGTTATACCTACTATACTGTCAGTAAAAAAACTGGTTTGTATGACATTCGATTCCTGTCATATATCGTAATAACGTGCAGCATGTGTGTGAAGTGCGGGTGAAACCCGGTCAAGTTCAGTCGGTGACGCCGGCTGGATTATGTTCTTATAGCTAATCTGTTCGTAATCTTCCGGCTGCAGACCGTTGCTGAGGCACCAGTGATGACATTAGCAGACGATATATCTCGCTCTATGCATAGAAACTAAGCTAACCTAAGCTTCCTTAAAGTATTGCTTAGAAATTTTCACAAAAAAATGTTAACTATAACTTATTTTATTCTGAACCAAATAAAAAAACTAACGTTTAAACTTTACCTAAAATCTCTGGTAATTTTTCGTAATTAATAGTGATTAAGGAGTTTTCTTAAAGCACGTAAACAAATACAATATTTTCCATATGAAAGGTCAAGTGTCTGTTTAGTATAGAAGGTATTTAGTAACTTTCGAAATTACTTAGTAATTGTTATTGTTATTAGTTACAGTTATTGTTGACCTAAGATCAAGTTAGTACCTAGATAATGTTCAACATAATGTACTAAGCAGGTAGTATAAAGTTTAATTATGTCGTTAGAGGCTTGATACATTAATGACTGCAATCAGATCATGCAAATTGTTTCGCATTAGCGCCAAATTATATGAGAAATGAATCGCCTATCAAATTTAATTACATATTAATTAATTGATATGTTATATTCATGCGTATATGTAATAAAATGTTTTGTAGGATGAATGGAATTTAGTTGAGGTAAGGCAAATGTTAGGTATGTAGTAGGTATAAGAGATTTAACATAGGATGTGCCAAATTTAAGCTGTTTAAATGCGGATATAGATGTTCTGAGGCTCATAATGAAACTATGATTTTACATCGTTGAAGCATGCGTATATTTTTTTTTGTTATTTTTTTCTATAAGAAGGACAACGTTTTATATGAGGGTCTACATTGTGCACTGCGGTGCTTTCCAAAGCTAAGGTAAATCTGACACAGCCTGGTATATGTGTGTTTCTGAATAATGATAGTTTTTTTATATCATTAGGTGTCGAGCGAGCGGCCACCTGAAAGCGTTGAAATAGTGAAATGACCGTTGCCGTAGACATACGCAATTGCATACGCATTGCCTACCTTTAATCGACGGAGGAGAGGATGCACAGAAAGAAAGAATTTTCCCTTTCCATGCATCCTCTCATCTGGAAAGTCCACTTCCACTTTTATCCTTTGCTTATAAGAAAAAGGGTGGGACGGGAAAGAGGACTAAATTAGGCTTCCGGGACGCACACTCGGAATTGCTTCCACTTCACGCCTGTCTTCTGTGCGGTCGTGGTATTTCACCGGGCGAGCGAAGATTAGTGCGAAGACGTTAAAGCGGGCTCTACCAATGTTACAAAGTTTGACACGAATATTGAACCGTTATAGAGTGAGCAGAAGAAATGTAGTACCTAGTAGTCGGTCCTAATACTTAATATGTGGTCATATATGTCGTTGGAACGTAATGGAATGGTTTCGGTGTTCGGTCTATCTCTTAGTGTTTATCAGGAAATAAAAGTAGCTTATAGTTCTAATTTTGTATTATTTTTTATTTCAATATATACTTTTTTGCATTCGAGTTACTTTTTAATTTATAAATATGCTTGTTACCAGATGATACATCCATCAATTCTAACAAATCGACATCAGGTTGTTTGTTTGTACGAAAAAAAACAGCAATCATAATAAAAAAGGGCATGAACACTATCCATTAGGCGCTGTCGTTGGGGATGGTTCTCGATTATTCCGCGCTCTATCGACCCTAAATGCCCTTTATTTTTGGCTAGACATCTGCGACGCACGATTAATCAGACAAATCGCTGCGAGACCGCAATGCTGCAGTTTTGACCGATTATCATTCACGTTGACGTGTTTACAATGGAAACGGGGACTGTTATTATCATTTTGCTTTTATTATCTCTAACTTAAAATCAAGCTTTTTAAGTTCTTAAGCATAATTGTAAAGTGACAAATAGGCCAATGAAAATCAATGTTTCATTAATATTTGTTTATTTATTTCATTAAAATACAATAGTGTTATCATGATATTTATGAAAACTGGTGTATTTCATTTCGAAGCGTCAATAGCCTAATGGTTAAGATACGGATTTCCGACCACGAGGTCGGGGGTTCGAATCCCGCCATTCGACTATTGTCGTAAACCATATCCTAGTATAAGCCTAGAGATTAGTTTGGAATGGTTAAAGAAATATTAGTAATATTTTTAATAAAAAAATATAATTAATTTCATTTTAAGTCCATTACTTAATAACATATCTAAATATTTCGACCTCTAGATACATTGTTTACATTTGAATAGAATAATTAAATCATTTTGAAACAAAAGAAAGAACTTTCTTCTTCCTTTCAAAGTAACTTCCTTGTATCATCACAATAATGAATGATAATTACAAAAATTATTTAAAATAAGTTAAAGAATAGAGGAAAAGAAAAAAAGAAAAGAATAAAGAAAGAAGTTCTTAAATTTGTCAAGTTTCTAAAAAAGAAAGAAAGAAGTTCTTTCTTTCTTTAAATCATTTTTAATTATTTGTTGTAATTCATTCATTATTGTTTATCTATAATGGAAGGAACTTATTTTGAAAATATTAAAAGCATATTTTTTACATATTTTACTAAAAAAAGGTAGGTAGAGCTAATTTAAAAGGAAAACTTAATCTAAAAATAAATGATTTGTTTGTTTAATACTCTTATAACTATTACATTTATTATATATCACAATTTTTTACATATCTTATAAACTCTAACTTTATTTTTAGTACTACTTAAATAAAAATCTAGTTATTGAAATTTATAACTGACATAAAATAACTTAATATTAAAATTTATCAATTAAACATTCATAGTTATTTGTGATTTGTTGTACATTTACTTGCTTCACAATTTTTGTGTAAACTAAATATTTTTTTTAATGTATTTTATAAAATAATATTTTCAGATCAGATTTTATTTGAAATTTAATGAAAATTACTTATCATTAATTAATTACACAACTTTTTATGTAAAGATAATTTTTGTTAACAAACAGATTCGCAATGTAAAAATTAAAACTAAAATACCTAACGATCAATCATCATTACGCATCGAATCGATAAGTCGCCGTCGGCTACTTGCCGTCGGCGCGGGGCGTACTCCGACGGGCCAGCACCGCTCTGCTTGGCATCGCACCGCACACACAAATTAACAACGCTAATCAATTAAACACACAAACAAGCACGTCACCAGACACAGGAAAAACGAAAAGCCATCGAAGCCAACCTCGTCTGCAGACCTGGGACGTTTAAAAAGGCTGTAGCGAACCGTGGCAGCCATGTTGTGCGAAGCCCGCCCGGAATGGCGCGGAGCGCGCCATTGGCCGCTCGCCCCGAGTGGGCGGGGCTCCCCTCGCCACGGTGTTGCCAGCTTTTTGAATAAATAATTTCAGTAATTTAAGTAATGAAGGCAATTATGGCGTTGTTTAGCTAAGTTTGCGCGGCGGCGAGCGGGAACTTTATATTTATACCGGTCTCTTTATGTACGCCGGCGCGGTTAATGCTCGCGATCTGTTTACGTTGCGCTCGCTCCACCGCTTTATTTATTGCGGGCGACGCGGCTGCAGCCCGCATTTAAACTGCAATTATTTGTACTACACCATCTAAGCGTATTTTGAGATTTTATACAAACTTAAAACGTTAAATTTAGATTACCCACCGCACTACTCGAGACACAAAGTTATCTGGACACACAATATCCGTGCATGGCCACATGTACCTATGCATTACAAATAATTAAGACAAATACTGACCGAAATAATTATATTAAAAAAAATTGTAACTTTTTAAGAAACATAATATTAAGGACACCTCGGGCTAAGTTTCCGTGATGCAATAGGCACGTCGCGTCGCTCGCCGCTAGTGCAGTGTCCGCGGCGTGGAAAAGTAAACAGTGACGTCACGAGGCGTCACAGCGAGCCGATAAAAAGTCGATTTTATCCGCACAAGTTCGGCCAGCTGACTGCGCTCCCCCCTCTCCCCACCGCCGCAGAGTTTTCAGCGCTGCGAGATTTCAGCAGGAGCGAAACGTCTAGATGTGAAAGCGGTTTGTGCGAGGGAGACGACGGTAGAGGGCGCGCGACGGCGCGGTGGGCGGCCGCCCCCGGGTGATGTATGGAGTGGTGGAGTTAGGTTCAAATTGCGCCGGGAAGTGGCCGAGATTAGAGCCGACGCGGGTCGTACCGCGCCGCGAACGTAAGCCCACTTAAGACTGTTTTTAATACTAGTATTTTTTACGCGATCCCGCCCGGATTTAGCGGATGAGCGCCGTCGACGCGATCGTGAGCTTTGATTTATCGGTTACGGTTGATTTTTCGGTTTTTGTTCTGTTGTGTTTACGTTTGTGGGTGACGCGCGGTCGCGGGTGGACGCAGTAATCCCAAGGCTTCTGCTAGATTATGCTGGATATCGCCGGATTTCCTGATCACTCGCTGTGAACTATTCGAGAGCAACCTTCCACCTGTGCTATCAACAGCCTTCAAGAGTCAAAACATTGTTTTCTAAAGTGAGTACCTAATTAGACTGTTAAGTCAATCCTATCAAGGATGTTGCTTATCTTATGATGAAAATTATATCAGTTATAACCTTACTTTGTGCTCCTACAATTTCATATCTAAACAAAACATGACACCGACAATAATTTTAAGTGTATTTACAAATACATACTTAGTGTATTTTGAGAATGAAATGTAATGAGAAAAACCATAGGTTATGTTGGAAATTTTACATAACCAATTTTACACCTAATACCCGAGTAAATTGTATGAAGGTCACGTAGATAAAAATATATTTACATATAGTTGTCATCGTTTTGTTGGTTGCATTATTTATACACAGTAATTGGTGAATAGGCACTTACTAAGCTAGCGCGTACCATCTTTCGACCAAATCTCCACTTCACCAGGTGGGATCGTGGTCAAGCGCTAGCTTGTAAAACGTAAAAAAAATAAAATTTATTTAAAGTAATATGAAAATAGATTTAAAGATTTTAAATACATACTAAAATTACCTATTTACACTGAAAAGATTTAAATAAAAAATTAAATAGATAGATACCTTATAAAGTATATATTATAATAATGCCGTAAAAGTAAAGTATTTTGTATTAAAAATTTGTTTCTGAAATATTAAATTTGGACGCTAAAGTGACATCACTAGTCCAAAATCAAGAGCTAACTTTGTTCATTTAATTTAGAGTATTGTCTTAATTTTTAAGTAATGAGTTTCTTTGCGCAATTTGTAGGGAATTTCTAAGAACATTTTTATCCTATGTCATAATAAAAAAAAATAGAAACTTCTGTAATTTATTGTGCTGTTTGTATTATTTTTTATTATCTAAAACAATTAAATTTTATTTATCATATACTACTTACAAAATTGAAATTATAAATTACAACATAATAATAGCCTATACTTGAATGATGGTTTTTAGAATTTGTTATATGTATAGTTCCATTTCGTCAAATTATTTTAGTGCAGTTTAAAATATTTTGTAATTATTGATTTTCACAAAATGGAGTAAATTGTTAGAGCTCTTGTTAATTATTTAGAAAAAAATACGTAATGTCAAAAAAAGGAAAGTTAAAATAAAATCAGTGTTTCTTAGATTATAAAGTTGTAAAATGTCTAATGTCTCTAAATTACGGAGTGACATTTTACAATGTAAAGTAGAAAAAAAATATTTGTAAATAAATACTTTTTGCTTTTACTTATTTTTGAATAAAATAATTTTCTATTCATATTTTTTTTCATAACATCAAAATGAAGGCTAAAATTCAGCTTTCCTTTTTTTGCGGATCCGACGGCTTTAAAATGTAGAGTTAAAATTGAAATACAAATTTAATTATCAGAATGATGTTAGGCTCAAGACAGTTGTGCCGTCAGTCCAAGGAATATATTAAAGAAAATAAAAAGAATAACTTAAATTAGGATGGCCGTTTAGATTCATTTAAAAAGATATATTGTCCATGTTGAGGTTACAAAATATGTAGTAGTATGTAAACTAAAAACGATGGAAAAAATTTATGGTAATAAAAAAGCGTAGATCGCCTTTATTTTTATTTTTGTAACGTCTAAAATATGATTTATTGTCTATATTTAAAGAAAACTTTGATGTTCATAATTCTCCACACTGAAATATCAAACCAACATTTTATTTTTATTTCAGATCATCAAAAACATACTAATTTATACCGTAAATATCTTATTAATGCCTTATTGATAAATTTTATAACAATAAGTTAATTTTGCCTTTTATAACGTTGGTATACACACTCCAAATACACAAAAATATTGTCATTTCTTTCTTTTTCTCTTTGGAAAACCACAGAGATTTTGTAGTGCTTGTACAGGATTTCTAGCAGACTAAACTCATTGTGAAAATTTCAATATGTGTAATTTTAGATCTAAGACAATTAGGTTAGGTTAAATTAGATTTCTTAGATACCATTTAGTTTTTACTTTAAATATTAGTACAAAAATAATGATAATTTTTCTTATTAATGCACCAAAAATTGTTTCAACTACTGTATACAATTTTAAGTGTTTTGGTTCAACAGTTCCGTGAAGTTAGATTGATATGAAATTCGTTTTAAAACACATTATTGTCTCTACCTTTTCAAACACAATGTGTGATACTTTATGTTTTTATACAAGTGTGTCGACGGCGGATACCCACCCTTATTAACTATCGGAAATCAAGGAGTCGTAAAACAAATAATGTTCGATATAATTTGAACTTTTGTCGATCGGACGAGGTGTTGGGGCCTGATATCTTTCTCACGATGCTATATTTAGTGATAGTCCGTCAATATCGTACCATTGACAATGTTAAATCATGTTATCAGCCGATACACGAGATACGGTCGAAATGTTTGCGTGTCGGATGTCAGCCGGCTTGTAACACCGTGTAGTTTTTGTTCATTTTCATGTAATGCCGATATGATTTGGATTTCGAGTGACGATCACGCGATAAACTATTAAAATAACTTCAATGTTTTCAATTGTGTTTTACAAAATAGGATATTGTTAATGTTACAAAGATAAGTGATTTTAAAGTATATAGTGAACGTTAATTGAGTTGGTTATAATGAAATTTGACCTTGTTTTGTTTTTTGTGTGTCATATACGTAGATAACGTCGTACATTTATGCTGAAAAGGTATGTTAGTTCTCTTTATATTGAAGAAATTAGCACTTCACCTTTTAATGACATTAAGATATGACTGGCATTGATTTAGTAATAGTCTAGTTACTCTTGATTATGAATGACAAGCTAAAATATTAGTTATATCCGTACGAAGATGTGTAAAGTAGAAAAATCTCCAAAAGTGCAGTATATGTTATTAACGTCTAAAAAAGCGGAAAAGTAACCAAAAGCATTGAATATTGAAACAAAGATTCACAGTCGTTCGAAAGTCGATTGTGTTTTAATAGAGCGAAGCACTTTCGCGAACTTAAATCTTTCAGCTTAAAAAAGGCTTTGCATCGGTTTAAAGGGATCAGGGCGGCTCAGAGCGCTGGCTGGCTCCGGATTTGCCCAATTACTCAGCGCGGACTCAAGACTTCTGTACTGCCAAGTACGAGGTCACTTTGTTGCGATGGGTCAGGTTTTGTTACGCCAATTGCTATTTGGAAATCTATTTAAAAAAATATTGACAAAAATTGATGACTCTTTTAGTCAATGCGTAAAGTATGTTAATGAGTATCTTTTTTAAGAATGTAACAACAAAAATGCAAGATATTTATGCTCTTTGAGAAATAGAAATGATGTGTGGTCTGTTCTGTGTGTTAAGAAGTAAATAAGTGTATTTGCATAAATGCAATAATTTTATGAATTACATATTTTATGTTAGGAAATACAAGACATTTTGAGTTGTATTCAAGTGGATTCAAGGCTTTAAATGCAAAATATGACATGAAAAAAAATGTCAATGGAAAATTTAGGAAATGTTATCTTCTAAATCATAATTAATTGTAAAGCTTTTAAAAATAATCTTTATCTTTTGTATATGAACTTGTCATTCAATCAAGCAGTTTCTTTCCAATCGCTAACATACAGCGTGTGTTATTTATAAGCTTAATTTAAGGTGCGTACACACTGATGTGTATTTTATAATAAAAAAGAAACAAACGCGCCATAAAGTGTTGCCTGATCGAGATATATGGTGTGTCAACGTTCATAATTCAAATCGGTGTGACAGAACGCCTAGGTGTTGCGTTATAAAACTCGAGGGAAATGCGGTGGAAGTAAAAAGACACACGATGTATAGTGATTTACCGCTTTAATTGCCCTTTTTTACATACGGATACGTTTCAGTGGGAATTCAATGTAACCTTAAAAGAGAGCAAAACGTAAACGCTAACGTTCTACCGACCTGACCGGGAGCTGTGATGCCTCTTTTTGTTCTTTAATGGCCAGTCCTCGGGAGAAATAAAAGGAGATTTACGCGATAGGTGAACTAGAACCTGAAGGCAACGGGAAAAATTTACTTACACTGTATCTTATGGTTATTTTATCCAATGTTATCTTATAATAATTTTTTCTAGACATAATATTGTTCTTTTTTTTTAACTGTGTATTCATATCAAAAAGGAGCTGACTTGAGTTGCTAGTTAATCATAAAATTTATTTTCAGGTTGGCGCAATGTGCTGAAGCGTCAAACACAGACGAGTCGCAAAGCGGCTACTTAGTACGGTGTGATAGAAAAGCTTCATCATTCACTTACGCGTGTACAAGGAGGCGCTGGCGGCCGGCATGGAGCCGCTAAGCGAGAACGGGCTTTGCCTCTCCGAACTGGAGCTGCACGGGGGGCACCTGCACGAATCAGTGGCGGCGTCAGTGGGATCCGCCATCTCCAGCCTCATGGCGCCGCTACATCATGAACCTCAGCACGCACCCTTGCACCACGCCCCGCCACTCCACCATGAACCACTGGAGAAATTAAAACGTGAGTCATTCGTTTCTCTATGATATGTGTTCATAATATCAGTATTTCATTATTTACTGCTCTACCTTACCATTTAGTGGGCCTAGCACGATATCAAAAATAATATGAGATTTTTGGTTTGGTTTATACGCGATATGACGTGGCGCTTGTCACAATTATTCCTGCTAGGCTCACTGGGGTGGTGAGAAACTTGTACGCTACAAAATGTATGTCACAAAAACGCTAGATGGCGCTATCATTTATTTCTGATTTCACTCCTTCAAGTATGTTTGACAACTAATATTCGTATATTTCAAATCAATTTATTTACTATGTTCTCTCAATATCATAACACTGATAATATTAATGTTTTTCTTTATCAAATTGAACAGAAGTTACGTTTGAGTTATTGCGTTTCCATTTTGAGTAATTAATTTTATTACTCATCGCTGTAATTATTACATTAAAACATAAACATCCGGATTAATGTTACAAACGTTATTAAAACAAATTAGAAATTAAAGTATACTGGTGTTGCTTATCTATAAACGATAAAGTCTGATTAAAACCAAATAAAGTATTAATAATATTTCATTCAACATGCTCTTGTTGGCGCTTGTTCTGTGGATGTAATAAATACAGCGGTGCAAATATTATTTCGCATAATATTTACGATACAACTCGCCTTCTGTTTATAAGGTAAACTTATATAAATGGTTCCTAGAAATGTCTATTATAATAGTTCAATGGATAGAGAATTAAATTCCCAGAACGTTGAATCTTACTGTGAGCTTCCACTGTCAAAAAATACGTATTAAACATTTTGTTGCCATTGTCATTTTAAGTTGAAAAAAAATAAGAAAATAATTTTTAAAACAAATATTTTGGCCGTATAATTGTTTGGTAAATCTCGAGTAACTTGTGACTGTTGAGAGTCATAACTTTATGCGATTTTATATTGGAGTAGCTGTCGCCTGCGGCTCCCTTCGAGCGGTAACAAAAAAAACTTAATGAGTAGCCTATGTGTTCTTCCAGAGTATGTTCTACATCTATGCCGAATTTCAGCGAGATCTGTTAAGCCATTCCGCAGATACTTTCAAACAAACATCCATCCATCCATCCATCTATATATCTAAACATCATATTTATAATATAAGTAATATTAATAAGATAAGACTGAATTAAAATTCATTGGAATACGTTCGTTTTTTTTTTAAAGTCCATGTTGTTGTTCGTAAGTTTATACAGAACTGAGCTTTAGATTTCATAAAAAAAATAGTACCTTAATATTAGATCAAATGTCAACCAAACGATTGTATACTTTTAAGATCAAAATACGAAAAAATATTTTGTATTGGAAGACGAAGTTTCTATAAGACATAGTACTCGAATCGTTTCCAATCTATTTGTTGTGTTTATTCATGAATACCGATGAGGATCTTCTTTATATTGGCAAATAAATCCCGTTTTAAACTCAACTGGGATAGTAAATAAGATAAAGGGGACTTTTCGTGTTTCATTTGACTGTCGACGCGTCCCCAGTATACGATGTAGTCATTACGTCGCCCGTTTCATTTTTATTAAGATGTGTTGCTTCTGAGATATGGGATAATATAAACATATACAATGTTACTTTTGAATTGGATTTAAATCTAGCTATGTACTATATTAACTTATATATTGTTACGGTCCTAATAAATGTCATATATTTATTTAGTGAATAAAATATCGAACTAAAGGTAGTAAACCAAATTCGTTAAACATATACGTACTTTTACTTTCCTTTTGGTAACATATCTATAGTGCGCAGCAACATATCTTATTATCGAGCATAATTTTAGTTAGTTGATCCAAATAGTACAAATTAGATTTATACGCGTAGGATTTTGGATTTTAACTTGACTTTAATTGAGAAAGCGAATTTTGCTAATAATAAATTAATTATTTGTGATTTTATGATCAAACGATGGATGGATGTTCGGTATTAGGTATCTTCAGACCAGTTAAACAGATATTGCTGAACTGTAGCATAAATGTAAATATAGTCTAAAAGAACACATAGGCAATTGATTAAGTTTTTTTATTTCTGGCTGCTGGATCTGCGGGCGATATTTTTCTATAACCAATAAAAAGTTCATAGTATTACGTCATTAAAGAACACAAAGCGCAATGTGCACGTGCTAAAAATTATAATGTCGATCGATGTCATAATCAGTAGCGAATTTCACCAAAAATGTACAGTCAAAAAAGTTTATTTCCAACTAATTTCAGTGAAATGTCATTTGTAGCTCTCAATACAATAAGGTTAAAAATCGTAAAAGTAACATACAAATAAGATAAATTATAGGTCTTATGGTGACAGTTTGCTATACAATTTTCGATCGTAAATGGGAAGTGAATTTAATTCTCTGACTACAGATCGGCCGTCACGGGTGATTGGTTTGAGGACCGTGACGGGATGTGGGCTGCGCAATGTCATCACTCTGTATACAAAATTAGTGAACATTCAAATACAGACCCTCAATGATACGCTTTTGTAATGCAACTTGTCATATAGTAATTTTGATGGGTTATTGCACCTGTTTTTATGTTTAAGACGTGTCTTGTCTGTTCTTTTTTATTTTTTAAGTTAGTAAGAAACTTTTGACAAATTCATTTCATTACCATCGTTTTCCGTTTTCGTAAAAATAGTTTTCAAGGAAAAATAAACTTTTTAGATTATTTATTTCTATTAAATATCTAAATAATATACGTCAATTTTTTTTAATGTAAGTTTAAATTATTCATTGAAAATTTGGAATTCCACCTGCATTTTAATATAGTAATGAAGACAAATTGGCAATAGCGAGGGGTGCGTATCGGCTGCGTCGCGCGCCGGGTCAACTAATCGGATAGTTTTTACAAACGCATCAATATCGGATTACAGGCCCCCCGGATGTTTAGTTGCGCAATTAGTCACGCTCTCGCTAGGGACCTTACTTACTATACGTGCAAGTTTTGTTTGTTTATATTTTATTATAAAAGAAAATGTTTAGCCCTTTAGAAGTGTTGCTATTTTCAAATTCAACTTTTTTGGCGGTTAAAGTCTAATACATATGGGTCTTATTTCTTCCCAAATTAGTTTTTTTCCTTTACGTAATATATGTCTTAAAATTAGTCAAATATCTGCGTATATGAGTCTTATATCTATTTATACGCCTTTGCTAGTTGGCGCTATAAATATTTAGTGTATTAGTTTTTGCTGCATGAAATTAATTTTAAAGTCTTTAACTTTTTAGTACGTAATTTTTATGTGAATTATTATTAAAATAAAATATAGTAAAACATTTGAAAGTTACGTAAAGTCAACAAAGCACAATCCATCATCGACAAAAAAAATACTGCTATCATTAAAAAATTATTCCAATGAATCCATATTACGTCTTCTTCTAACTTACAGTAATATACGCTAAATAGCACAGCTATCTTTGTCTCGCAAAAAACGAACCCCCAACAGAAAGCGACGAAGCATTATATTGCGATGATTAGTCTTGCACTTGCCGCTTTAGCTATTGAATTTAAATGGGGGGATTAAAATGTCGCTTTATTTATACATTACAACTCTATTGTCCTCGCTACATTAATCAATTTGCTGTCACTTTAGTTTTTTATAAATCTCCACTTTGCAAAATTAGCTAATGTTCATTTTGGGGAAATATTTTGCACAGAATGATAAGTAAAAATACTTTGTCATTTTTACTTATTAATGTAGAGTTGCTTTATCAAATGCTATTTACACTTTAACATTGGTTGTAAATTCATTTTTATTATGTTAATACAATCTCATGATGACGATATGATTTATTAAATATTTTGGTCTCAGAAACCTACGGTGGGAGGTTTAAATTAGTTAATTTTACACATATGTTGATTATCTTAAATCCATCTATTTATTTGATGTTGGTTTTTCATCAAAATCCAGAAAAAAAAATTGTTACTTATCTTGTGCAATAACTGCGCTATCACCGCATAATTTTCTAACAGAAAAATTCGCATAATCTTATTTGCATACGGTAAAATATCCTATAACTTCTGCGTATGACATGAGCTTATCCGTCGAAGATTGTTCTCATATCCCTAGATTTTTATAAAATAGGCGAAAAACACGTTTCGTGGCTTTAATTTTAAATTGAGCAGGTTCTGCGGAATCTTTTCAAAGCTTCGTTCGTTGATTTTGTCATTGTCGCGCCTTTTTTTCACCTTACCAGGCGCTAACCCGACGCGAACCATATTATGTTCAGTGAGGAAAAAATGTGAAACTAATTATGTGGGATCGGAGCGAGCTTATGCCGGAATCCCGATGCTTTTCCTTTCAATAACGCGAGGATTCTGATGTACTAGACCTTTAAAAATCCTCGTTCAATGTTTATCAAACATTTATCTTTAATTTCTTTTTTCTAATAAAGTGATTTCATTTTGGTCATATCGAAATAATAATTGATAAGAAAATTCAGTTAGTAGTCTAATAAATTTATTTGAGGAAAGAAGGAATATTTATATATCGATTATACTCGTATATCTATACGAAAATAAATATAGAATAAAAAAAATCACGCTTCTAAATTTCAATTCAGATTTAGGCTACGACCCAAAATATAATATCATTATGAATGTAGAATTACAAGAGAATTTCGCAAGAGAGAAGTAAATTTAATATTTTTTTTGTTTAGATAGACAAAACAGTCAGAAACAAAGTTTTATAGATTGTTGTCAGGTTGTAATATTTAGGACGTGTAACTATCGCGGCCGGAGGGGAATTTGTCCGGAGCACGAGACCCGAACAAATATTTGTTTCGTTAGTTCGTGTCGCGGCCGAGATTATCAAGTTTATCTCTCGTCGCGTCTAAATCTGACCGTCGACGCCGTGCCAGACAAACATCCCATGCTCATCCACTGCGCTCTGCATGCTGCACGCTGCACGCTGCATGTTGCATCGTGCAGCATGCTGCACCCTGCATGATGAATGTGTACTGGATATCGCG